TGGCAATTTCCCAGCTTTAGCTAGGGTCTGCCTTCCCACACAAACGCCTCCACTTTGCCCGGTCTTTGGCATCCTCGGTGGTTAATCCATTGGCTCTCATGTCCTACTTCACGGTGTCCAGCCATCGCTTCTTTGGGCGTCCTGGGGGTCTCGCTCCAGGGACACACATATCAAGGCAAATCCTTCCGACGTAGTTCTCAGGCCGGCGTGCAACGTGGCCATACCATCTCAGGCGACTCTCTTGAAGCTTATCCGCTACGTCACGGACTCCAAGACTACCTCGGATGAATGTGTTACGTATGCGGTCGGCCCGCGTAACGCCACACATCCACCTCAGCATCTTCATCTCCGTGACGTGAAGCTCTTGAGTGTGCCTGGACAGTACTGGCCAACATTCGCTGCCATATAAGAGAACCGGTCGGATTATGCTCTTATATATTAGTCCCTTGAGCTTGGGCGGTATTCTGCGGTCGCAGACCACACCTGTGACCTCACGCCATTTCGCCCAAGCAGCGCTGATCCGGGCTTGGACATCGTGATCGATGCCTCCGGACTCATGCAGAATAGATCCAAGATACCTGAACTTCTCCGACTTAACGGCTGGTTCAGGACCTATATGGATGGTGCAAGAGTCCGGGCTCCCGCAAGCCATGTACTCGGTCTTCGACACATTTAGTTTAAGACCACCGTTCTCAAGCGCACCCTTCCAAAGGTTCACTCTCCGCTCCAGCGTCAGCCGGTCCTCGTCAATGAGCGCTATGTCATCGGCATACATCATCAGCCATGGAGGCTGGTCCTGGATGTTAGCCGAGACGATGTCCAGCACTACATTGAATAAGAACGGGCTAAGAGCCGAGCCTTGGTGCACCCCTACTGAGATCGGGAAGGGTTTTGTATCGCCAACAGCAGTCCTAAGCATGGAAACGGAATCGCGGTACATGTCTCTGATGATGTCAATATAGGCTTCAGGGATCCCTTTGGTTTGCAAAGCCCACCAGATACATTGACGAGGCACGCAGTCAAAGGCCTTCTGCAGATCTAGGAATGCGACATGCAGAGCTCTCCTTTTTTCCCTGTATGCCTCCATCAGGGTTCTGATGGCAAAAATGGCGTCCAAGGTGCCCGATCCAGGCTGAAATCCATATTGACACTCCGAGACAGTACACTCTCGGCGGAGCCTGAGGTCGATCATGCGCTCAAAGAGCTTCATGGTGTGACTCATGATCTTAACGCCTCTATAACTACCGCAATCCTGAACACTGCCCCTGCCTTTGTAAATGGGGGTAATGAAGCTATAACGCCACTGATGTGGCATAGTCCCAGTGTTCAAGATGCGGTTGAAAAGGTCCGTCAGTATGAGCACACCAAGAGAGCCCAATGATTTCCACGCTTCGATCGGAATATCGTCAGGTCCCACCGCTTTCCGATTCTTCATGCGTCGAAGACAATTCCGAGTTTCATCAGGTGTTATCGGGGCAATAAGTCCAAGATTAGGAGGTGGTTCGGTAGACTGCATTTTAGTTATATAATATATCATTCACAAAATTATGCATGCATAATGCATATACATTTTCAAATATTTACTTTTATTTATTTTCTGTTTTAATTATTCTCATATTTATATTTGACCTTTTTTCATATATGGACTGTTACTAGACACATACACTTTAGACTATCAATCTTGTAAAGTTCCAAATTTGAAATTCATATGAAGACACGTTATTTAATTGTCTCAAAATATTGCATGTCTTCGCAAGTCCATTACGGTGCGACGTGAAGCAGCATTAAATTAATTTTGTGAAGGTTCAGGGATTATGCATTAAACATGTTGACTTTGTTCTTATGATATAACCTAATAATAATCAATTGCTTTATTCATAGCTTATGTATTAAATGGTCATACTCTTTTATTAATCCGAATTAAATAATAAGTTAGTTACAAAGAGACGAAGTGACGATAAGAAAAATTAAAGGAGATCCAAAGTAAACTTCAAATACGCGGGTCTAGTAAAATATGGGCATATAAGAACGTTATAATAAATATTCCATAACGAGCTTCCTTACGATTATTTATACTCCACTTAACTGATACTTCCTTCCGCTGTCAGATATTTCACAGTAATATTAAAATAAACACTTTATTATTACCGTGATATAAAATATTGTATACAAATTTAATTCCATTTCAGACGGATAATTAACATTTCAAAATGGTAATGAATGTGTGAAGGTTTTAAAAATTAAATGTTATTATATTGTAAACAATGATTATAATTTTAATAAGTGGGAAGAAGCAAATCAAATATTTTAATTAGCTCTGTTTATATTCGCAATCCTAACCGATTCTTATATATGTTATCTATTGTTTTCATACAATTTTAATACTTAGTAAGTAGTCAGTGACTTCATTATCATCATCATCATTTGAGCCATGTGAGGTCCACTGCTGTACATAGGCCTTCCAAGCGCTTCGGTGGGAAGCGGCCTGCATCCACCGTGAACCCGCGGCCTTGACTAAGACGTCAGTCAGGGACTTAGATGAAAAAAAGTATTTTTATTTTATTTTGAAGATTTTTAGAACTTAAAAATATATTCTTATGACACACGGATGTAACGTTAAGAAGGTTTCAGACTTAATCTTTGTGTTTTGTATCTTTACTTTGGTGTTGTCAAAGCTTGGAGTCATCATACACCTTTTGCACCATCTATTGTTATAGTGTTTTCAGGGACTAAAGTATGTAACATTCGTAATAATAAAAATGGTAATAATTTATTTGTTATTCCTATGATAATTTTTATTAATAACGGCATAAGAGCAGTACCTGATAGTTTTGGGTGATCATTTAAGAATAAAAGCACCTTGAAAAGGTCAGTGCTATATTTAGGAGTCCAAAACGTGTCTTACTAAGAATAGTTTGTTTGCTTAATTTCCAATTTGATACCTTTGTTATATTTATTTTATAATAACAAGATCTCCAAATAATATTTATTATGTATTTTAATTCAAACAAACCATATATTTAAATGTTTACATATAGTTTCCATAATATTGTTTTTCTCACAAAATAAAAATATTCCCAACTAAGAAGTTTCTTTTACGTACTGAAGAATAAAATATTTCTAATACATTTATACAAGTAAAGAGCTTTTGACTTATTCCTTTCTCTACAATGCTATCAGCAATATTAAAAATCTTATTTCAATGGGTAGAAGCGTAGGATGGTTTTAATGCTGTATTCACCAGCAACAACTATATTATTAGAATGCATTTAAATTAATGTAATTAATAAAGATTATAAAAAAAAAAACTTTTCTAAAAGGAAACAATATAAAAACAGAATCAAATCATAAATATAAAACTACATATAAAATAATTTACAAGACTTTCTTTGAGATACAATATCTAGCTCTAGAAATTTTACAGTTGATCAAAACGAAAAGTAATTCGACTAAAAAATAAGTTATTATTTCTCTATATATCTGAGAATCATGTGGTTTAGATGAATTCAGGTGTTCAAAATAGGTATATACGTTTTTTATATGACCCAAAAGGAGAAATGAGCAGAAGGTCTACCTGACATCTACAACCTAAGGGGATGTGTTACCGACCTTGTTTGTGGAGGAAAACAATTTAATTTAACAGAAGTAATACATTGAAACTCCATACAAAAATAATAAAAAGAAATTGATGTTTATACCGGATTATTGTTGACGTAGCTTATAAGGAAAAAGTAAGAACGGAAAACATTCATATTAACTTATTCATATTATTCAAATAAACTTGGAAATTAATTTAACAATACCAAATTATAACAAACATTTTGATCACGTTGACATCAATTTTATATTTGACTAGTTTTGCCTGCGACTTCGTCCGCGTTAATTTCGACATAAGTAATATACATATGTACATATGTGTTGCTAACCGGGTGAACTCTTTTCTGCACTAAAGGCCATAAATAACCAGATATTAGAATTTGTTAAGTTTTTTTGATCGAATAGAATACAATATTTCTGTCACCTGGTTCTAAGAAATGAATTACATAAATATTCGGTTACCAAATTATATACATATTATATAAAGTGATCCTGGAATATAGATTTTATATTTGAAAGCGACTTCCTTCCCTTAAAAATACCTTAAAACTTCATAATGAATGGAATAATTGATCTCTTGACACTTTTTTTGCATCCGTCTTGTATACGTCAAGGATTGCAAGTATATAAGAAGGTTGAAATAATATAAATTGTCACGTCTCAATCCGTTTTCCTTAAAGTTACACGTGAGTTTTGTATAGTGGCTTGTATTGGAGAATTCGATTTTAAAGGTAAATTATATTTGAGATGCAAAGTAATATCTATTACATCAAATGAAAGTTCTCATCTTTATGTTACTTAAATTTTTGTATTAATTTTATTTATAGAAAATTATTAATAATTCTTTACAATTACTTTCATTGATTATTTTATATTTAAATTTAACATTGTTATTTTAGTGCTTGATGCAACTATTGAAAAAAATAATATATATTTTTTAGTTGTAATATGAATTGTTTCGAATTAACCTATATAATTCTGATAATGAGCTCTTTAATAATAATTACTATTCATAAATATATGATAAATAATAACAGAAAAGGAATGATGAATATCCTTTTCAAATTTAGTAACGTTTACACAACTTTCACAATAACCAAAAAATAAATTATACAAAGGCTTGATAGATTAAAAAAATATATGTTGTTTTCATTTCATTAAACAGAAATATATTGAACCAAAAAAATCTATATGAAAATTATGAAAAATCCTTTAAACAATTAGAAGCTCGTCTCTTAATCATCGATTTAGATTATGTTATCCTGCTAATCAAAACAAATCCATTAATTAAAATTTAAGCAATATATTTTCTCTTCCGTATTGTATTGTAATATAAGTATGATTTAATAAAACTTAACAACACACAAAGACAATGTACATTTTTTATGACCTTCACAGATACAATGAAGTTCTTAGTATTCCTAGCCTTCGTAGCTCTGGCCACAGCTCGTCCGGAAGACAATTACGATCGGTACGAAAACTTTGACGTGGATGAACTGATTTCCAATCTACGTCTTCTAAAATCCTATGCAGCCTGTTTCCTTGGAGAAGGAAAATGTACTCCCGAAGGCAACGACTTTAAGAGTAAGTTTCCATTTTTTTATTTAAAATCTGATCAAAAAAGTGGTCACAAAATTATTCTTTGCAATGAGCGGGAGCTCAATAGTAATTTTATATTTTATAGTGGCTTATTGAATAATTTCGTTGAATAATTATAATGAATATAAGGAACTGAAATAGACGATGGTTTTAATATTTAATAATAAAACAGTGACAATCTTATTTTAATTCTTAATGTGTTTTTGGAAAAATGTTAATTTAAAGTCGATATGTATCTAATTGATTACAATATTTCTTCTAGAATGGATACCAGAAGCTGTTCAATCGAATTGCGGTAAATGTTCCGACCATCAGAAACATCTCGTCGGAAAGGTTATCAAAGCCTGCATGGAAAAACTGCCAGCAGAATGGCAAAAACTGAACGCCATCCACAATCCAGGTGGAAAATACGACGCAAACTTAAAGATCTACCTAGAAAAATACGGACAATAAGTGATAATATATTTAAAGATTAATTAGACCTTAAATCAAAATTAAAAATTTATAAGAATATATTTTGATGTGGAATTATATCTTTTTGTTTCATTAAATTCTTTTCGTATATATTTTGAATATTTTGAATCGATAATTCGCATCAAGTATTAAAACTAAAATTTTTCTGTGGAAAAGTAATTTAAAAGCTACGTTTAAATTGTTAGGATTCAGTTAGAATATTAAAACATTATTTATTTATAACATATACAAAAATATATAGGAATGAGAAAAATTGTCTTATAATTTTTGTTTTCTTTGTCTCTGTGACTTCCTTAAGGTTAGAGTAGAGAACATGTCGTTTGCAATAAATGAATTTAGCTATCCTACAATTTTAGGAAAAATGCTCAACAAATAAAACATTACTTACTATACAAAGGTAGCACATATTTATTATAAAGAAATAAACTAAATAATACTATTGAACTTTATTAAAAAAAACATGTAGACGAAAGTGTTTCTTAAAAAAATTAAACTTTCTCAATAGTCATAAAAATATTAGAAAAAATTCCGTTATAAAAATTAATAATCCTTAAAAGACTGTTTAATTTTTAATTTAAGTTATAAAAAAGATAAGTATATAAGAACTTGGAGTTTAGATAAGTTTAATTTGAGGTCATAATCTAGTCTACCTTCCCTAAGAGTCTCCATATCAGACTGAATGTTCGAGAAGAGCAAGAAAAAATTTTGTTCAAGAGAAAAATCGAAAAAATGAATTGAACTAAGAATAAATTATTGCTCAGAATGGTGAAGCTACATTTAGAAATCTGTGGCGAGATATTATATCAAAAGTATGATAATTATTGTTTATGTTGTTGAATTAATATTATAAAAATATTTTTTTGGTTTTATGTATATTATGTGACGGTGTCATAGTGATAGTTAAATTAAATAAAAAGAGAATTACGGTGTAATCGCAGGTCGCGTTTAGCTTCTAAGTAAATTTGTTCATTCTACACGGGTCTGACTCAGCAGTTCCGTGTGAACAGACTTTTCATTTATATATTTATTTGAGAATATTGTGTCACTATTTGCTCACCCTTTGTATAATAAAGTAAAACCAATTCATTGCAACTTAGCTTTAAAAATTAAGTCATTTAAATTTTGGTTTCATTGCATCTACCGACCGTCGAAATCATAATTTGAATAAAAATAAAGTTCCTACTCCCAATAAATAAACAAAAATACACATACTTATATACACATATGTACTTATGTATAATAGTATACATATATGGTTATATGTGTGAAACTAAATATGTGTAAACATATTATTAAACAATAAAATATGTTCTGTCTCTGATTGAACTTAACTACAAAAGCTAAATACCCTCTGAGAAGACGATGATTTCTTAAGAACACTGTTCGAACTCTTCCGATTATCCACGATAATATAATATATTACAAATTGCTTAAGAACAATTACTAAATAATTTGTTAAAATTTGAACATACCTTTTTCTAAGGTTAGTTTTGATAAAGCTTCTTTAGCAACTTAAAACTTTTGAACATTATTTGAAACTCCAATACAAAGCTATAAAGAGAAACATAATTACGTAGCACTATTCACATAACTATTTTTAAATATCTGTATATAATCAGATTCAGATAATTTACACGATAAAGATATTACATTACATTATTACATATTTTGCTAAAGCAAGAGGGAAATCTTTTGTCCATCAACAAAGTAGAGGAATTGATTGAACTTACTAGAGAATTTGAATATTAACACAAAATTTGTGTAAACAACTTTTAAATTATTTAATTGAATTTTATGGAATTTATGTCATATATAAATCATTCATAAAGTATTTATCCTGATCATTAATCAAAAGATAAAATATTTTATTGCGGAATTCAACGTCAGCCTTTAAAAAAGAAGCATTTCCCATGCGTTTTCTTAATAATTCTCAAAGGGATTAAGTATGTAGCGTTTTTTATGAAAACTCTCAGGTGGCTTTTCAAGGATCAATCATATTTTAAAAAAACTAAAAAATTACACAAATATATTTTAAACGATTAAAAAACCTTGTTGCATAAATGTAAAGTATACAGCCTAAAGTATTAAAACTTATTTTATATGTAGTATAAACATGTAAATTCTTAATAGATATTGTTAATAAACGTATTAAAGTTTTTTAAATGTTGTGTAAACAAAATTTAATAGATGACGCGTCATGGAAAAAACTGAAATCCAGGTTAATTAGTACTTTTTTATTTTAATGTTTTTCTGTCTTTATCAATATTCATACATTATTTCTATAATTTTTCATACACATGACCAAAATAAAAAAGGTATTCAGTACGAAATTTCAAGTGTCTCTTGTAGAACCACCTAATAATGATCTGTTATAATAGTTAATAAAGTTATCTTGAGGACTTTTTTACGAATTTCATTCTTGTATTCTAGAGATGGTCTTCAATTATGTTATCTTGAATACTCCTCATGACATTAAATAAAAGTAACAAATCCAATAAACTATAATGGTTTTTTATAATTATTTATTGCACTTGTCCAGCCCAGTTTATTTTCTTCCTTCCCTCCGCAGATGACGTACCGTGAGGCGACGGACGTGATTCCTATGCCTCCAATAGCACCCTTGTGCTCTGGGCTGGGGTCGGCTTGATAACCCGGCTCTTGTGAAAGCCCGGCGTCGTCGGGGCGATCCTAATTGCCGGGATCGCCCCCATACTCCGAGAGGGTAAGTTCGGTCTTTGCCAGGACCGGCCAATCGCTGGTGTGCCCTGTCGCAGACAGATCCGGGGTACACCAACATAGCGGCCGATGGCTTTCGCAGTGGTTTTAGAGTAGGGGCCTGCCCAGGTCGAGTCTCACACATCCCTTCCGACCCCAGCAAGGCCGGTTGGACGGCTCATAAAAAGAGTTTCCCTGCGTTATCAAAAAAAAAAGTTTATTTTCTTCCTAGCTCCGCCAATCAATAAATCTATAAAACATTCCATATTCTAATCCTATTTCAATTACTATTTACTAATTTACGTCTATCCGAAAATGTGTAATTTTTGTGGCTATTAAAACCTTATATTAGGTAAGCATATTTTTTATCTTTTCAAATATGTAAAAAAACTTATTTAGATTTCATTAATTATATTCTCACATTTTTTTAACCTCCGGCTTACGTTATTCAAGGATTGTGGGTATATAAGACGATGAAGATTAGTATGGATGTACATTCCATCTAAAACAGTGTTCTCCTAAGTAGCAGGTGAGTTTTGGTGAATTGTGTTTTTGTTTATGATATGTACCTACATAAAAGTTCAAAGTAATTATAAATATGCGTCTAATTAGTGTGTGGAGAAATAGAATAAAAATGCATAAAATTTTAAATTTCATCCCTAAATGAATATTACTTTTATCAATTAAATGGTTTTGGATTCTATAATATATTAACTTCTTTGTAACATGAAGTTTCTTATTTTTTACTGATCCAATTATTTTTAGAGTTTTCTGTATTCTGTTACTTAACATGCACACATAAATATTTTAAGAATTAATAACTGCTGTAAATGTTATATATATATATTCTGTTTCCCTTACTATTTTAACAATTATATTTTTAGCATAATTATGTGCAATTTATGTAAACTATATGTTATTAGCTGTATAAAATTGAGTGAAGTTGCAAACTATTGTTCTAAAATAAGAAATTAAGTTACATATAAAGTACTTTATAAGTCTAATTCCGTACAAATGTTATTAAACTTACAGATACAATGAAGTTCTTAGTATTCCTCGCCTTGGTAGCTATCGCTACAGCTCGTCCGGAAGACAGTTACGAGAAATATGAAAACTTTGACGTGGAAGAACTGGTGTCCAATGTACGTCTGCTAAAGTCTTATATAGCGTGTTTCCTTGGAGATGGAAAATGTACTCCCGAAGGCAATGACTTTAAGAGTAAGTTCCATTTTTTAAATTTAAAATCTGATAATAAAAGTGGTCACAAAATTATACTTAACAATGATCGGGAGCCCAATAGTAATTTTATATTTTATAGTGACTTATTGAATAATTGAAATAGTCGTAGACGATGCTCTTAATATTAAATAATAAAACCGCGATAATCTTATTTTAATTTTCAATGTATTTTTGGGAAAATGTTAATTTAAAATTGATATATAATTGATAACAATATTTCTTCTAGAATGGATACCAGAATCTGTTCAATCCAATTGCGGTAAATGTTCCGACCATCAGAAGCATCTCGTCGGAAAGGTTATGAAAGCCTCCATGGACAAACTTCCAGAAGAATGGAAAAAACTAAACGCTCTCCACAATCCAGACGGAAAATACGACGAAGGCGTGAAAAATTTCGTGGAGAAATATGGGCAATAAATGATTATATCGTTCGAAATACGGATTGAGTGAAAAATAAAATGTACTGAAATTATTTTTCATGTGTAAATCTTATTAAAAATATATTATTCAGAATAAGTGCATTGACTTATAATTTTGTAATCTATTAAAAATACATTATATTATTTAAATTAATCATAATACACACAACAATGATTCACAAAAGACAAACTAAGATTAATAAATATGTATCTCGTCGGTAAATGTTAAACATGATGATATTTCTAGTATACTATAGAACTGCAAATAATCAATTAAAAGTGGCTGAGTATCGACCGTTTGCAGAAATTAATCAATATAATGTTAACAATAACTACACAAAATATATTATTTAAAAACTCTAAATTTATTTTAGAATAAAAATCGCATTTGACGTTACAAATTATTTTTACGACACTTCATACTGCTGGCTAAAAAAAATATTTTATGATCAGTGAAAACAGAAAAAGGCTACCTGTTAGTTGAAATTGTATACATTTAGACATTTTAGACTTCTGAAACATTTTAAATGAAATTTAATTAATATCTCTTATCTCATTTTATTTGACGAAATACTAAGCTTTGATACATGATCATAAGGAATTAAAATTCAAAAAGTCCTATATAAACTTCTGAGTAACAAAGACAATTATGAAGATCCCTCAATGTAAGGTGTTAATAAGGTGTAACATAAATATATAATGGGTAATAAAAGAAGAACAATGATTAACATCCTTTTCAAATTTAGTAACGTTTGCACAACTTTCACAATAACCAAAAAATATACAAAAGTTTGATAGATTAACAATATTATATGTTGTTTTCATTTCATTAAACAGAAATATATGAAAACAAATATAATATGTAAAATCCTTTAAACAATTTAAATCAATGATTTAGATTATGTTATTCTGTTTTATCAAAACAAAACCGTTGATTAAAATTTAAATAATAATATTTTCTCTTCCGTATTGTATTGCAATATAAGTATGATTTAATAAGACTTAACAACATATACACTTCACAAAGACAATGTACATATTTATGACCGTCACAGACACAATGAAGTTCTTAGTAATCCTCGCCTTCATAGCCCTGGCCACAACTCGTCCGGAAGACAATTACGACCGATACGAAAACTTTGATGTGGATGAACTGGTGTCAAATTTACGTCTTCTAAAATTTTATGGAGCACGTTTCATGGGAGAAGGAAAATGCAGTCCTGAAGGCAACTTTTAGAAACCTCTGACAAGATATTACATCAATCAAAAGGCGGATAATTATTGTTTATGTAGTTGAATTTATATTATTTTTTATAACAAAAAAAAATATTTTGTTGTATGTTTAAAAATAAAGGAGTAGAAACTCAAAATAAATAATACTAAAATACACATACTTATATACACGTATGTACTTATGTGTAATAGTGTAAATATATGCTTATATATGTATGATATAATTTTTGTCTTTTATTGACCTTAACTACAAAAGCTAAGTCTACACTCTCAGAAGACGATGGTTTCTCAAAAGCACTGTTCGAGCTCTTCCGATTACCCTCGGTAATTACCAAATAAATCGTGAAATTGGAACATACTTTTTTTAACGTTAGGTTTGATAAAGCTACTTTAGCAACTTAAAACTTTTAGCCACATTATATGTATAAAACTCCAGTACAAAGCTTTAAAGAGAAACCTATATTCACATAATTATTACTAAATGTATACAATTACATTTGGAAAATACAAGATAAAGATATGGATTATATGTTTTGATGAAATAAGAGTTAACTCTTTTACAATCTACAAAGTAGAGAAATTTATTGCACATATTATGTAGATCTTACTGCAGAATTTGAATATTAATACAAAGTGTACGTAAACAACTTTAAATTATTTAACTGAATTTGAGATGAATTTTATAGAATTTATGTCATGTATAAATTATTAGTAAAGTATTTATCATCATTATTAATCAAAGGATAAAATATTTTATCACGGATTTTAAAGTCAGCCTTTTAAAAAGAAGCATTTCCCATACGTTTTCTTATTACATCTCAAAGGGATTAAGTAGCTTGTTTTATAAAAACTCCCAAGTGGCTTTTTAAATGTCAATCATATTTTTAAAAAAAAAACCTTAAAAGTAGACAAATATATTTCATATATTTTAAAAAACTTGCTTCATACATGTAAAAAATAGAGTCTAAAATATTTAAGGTTACCGTATATAATAAATGCAAATTGTTAATCGATATTTTATTAAACGTATAAAACTTTTTTAAATGATAATGATCTGATGTAACAGTCAATAAAGTAATCTTGAGCACTTTTTCACGAATTTTACATATTCAGGAACTATTTTTGTAGAGATGGTCTTTATTTTTGTTGTTTTGAATACTTTCATGAATAATACAATAAAAGTAACAAATTCAATAAAAGATATTGATTTTTATAATTTGTTCCACTTTTCAGTCCCAGTTTATTTCTTCCTAACTCCAGCAATCAATAAATCTATAAAACATTCCATAATCTAAACATACTAATCTATTACTACATAATTGCTAATTTACGTCTATCAAAAAAACTGGAATTTTTGTGGCTATAACCTCAGTTTAGGTAAGCGTAGTTTTTATATTTTCAAAGATGTATGTTTTTTAAAAACATATTTAGAGTTCTTAAATTATTATCTTCTCACATTTTTTTAACCTCCGGCTTACGTTATCCAAGAATTTGTATATAAGACGATGAAGATCAGTATGTACATTACATCTAATACAGTGTTCTCCTAAGTAGCAGGTGAGTTTTGGTGAAATGTGTTTTTGTTTATCATACATAAAAGATCAAAGTATATATAAATATATATGAGTGTAATTAGGTATATATAGTTCGTAGAGAAATAGAATAAAAGTGCATAAAATTTTAAATTGCATCCCTAAATGGATATTATCGTTATGAATCAAATGGTTTTGTTTTCTATAATATATTAACTTCTTTGTAACATGAAGTTTCTTTTTTTTTAATGATCGAATTATGTGTAAAGTTTTCTGTATTCTGTTACTTAACATGCACACATAAATATTTTAACAATTTACAACTGCTGTAAATATTATATATATTCTGTTTCCCTTACATATATTTTTTACAAATTTTAAATTAAGAAATTAATTCACATATGTACAGTATATGATAAATCTAATTCAATACTAATCTTCTTATTAAACTTATAGATACAATGAAGCTCTTAGTATTCCTCACCTTGGTAGCTGTCGCTACAGCTCGTCCGGAAGACAGTTACGAGAAGTATGAAAACTTTGACGTGGAAGAACTGGTGTCCAATGTACGTCTGCTGAAATCTTATATAGCATGTTTCCTTGGAGAAGGGAAATGCACTCCCGAAGGCAACGACTTCAAAAGTAAGTTTCCCTTTCAAATAAAACTATGGCTTTCGAATAAACTGAAAAAGAAATAGTTGTAAAACTTATAATTAATCATTATGCAAAGAAGATTAAACAGTGAAGAAATCTTTTAGTTTCAAATTACTTCTATTTTAAAGTAGGTTTTATTTTATATATTTGTATTGTGTTTTTCTTTAAACATGTGTTTAACAATTTTGTGTAACGAAAAATTAAAAAAAAGTTTGATGTATCTTTAGAACTAATTTGTCATTTTAGAAACGACTATATTCGAATGAATAACATTTTAATTTTATTGTCTCTTAGAAACGACGACGAGAATTATTTAAATATTCATTTCGAAACATTTTTTAAACCCCTTTTTCCCCGTCAAAACAGCTAAAAATTTGAATCATGACATCTACATTCTCGATTATATTTTTTTCTAGAATGGATACCAGAATCTGTTCAATCCAATTGCGGTAAATGTTCCGACCATCAGAAGCATCTCGTCGGTAAGGTTATCAAAGCCTCCATGGACAAACTTCCAGAAGAATGGAAAAAACTTAACGCCCTCCACAATCCAGACGGAAAATACGACGAAGGCGTGAAAAATTTCGTGGAGAAATATGGGCAATAAATGATTATATAACTCGAATTATGGATTGAGTGAAAATGAAAATGTAATAAAATTATTTTTATGTGTAAATCTCAAATTATTTTCATTTGATTCATGCTATATCTTATTTGTAACATAGTAAAGAAATGTAATGATATTTGTTATGATAATATTAATACGTAAAACCATCCTCTGGTATGTATTTTTACGATTTAGGAGGGAAGGGACGAACTTGGACTTAAAAACAGTCAAAGCTTATATACAGAAGAATTTAGAGAAAAATCATAATACACACAAACATGATTCACAAAAGACAAACTAATAGTCCAAGATCCCAAGACTGACAGACGTCACGTTTTATCTGACGGATGAAATGTGAACTATTGAGTAGCGTTACTATGTACTATGATCGTATGCCTACCTGCTAGCTTGGTCAAACGGCCAATTTCCAGGTGTCAGGTAATCAAGGTACATAAAAACGTTACTTACTTCGACTACATAAATTCTCATACCTGATTTTCACATATGTTATAAGATGTATAGTTAAACTGAAAAAAAAATCTATTAAACGTGGTCGAGTATCGACCGTTTGCCAAAATCAATAAATATAATATTTACAATAACCGTTATATTTATTATTATATAATATATTTATTATCCTAAATGAACTTACTCGGAATTAACTTCAGAATACAAATTGTATCTACCTTGAGTTGAAATTGCAAACATTTAGAAATTTTAGGGTTCTAAAACATTTTAAATGAAATTTAATTTATTTCTCTTATCTGGTTTTATTTGACGAAATACTCTGCTTTGATACATGATTATAACGAATTAAAATTCAATATGTCCTATAAAAACCTCTGAGTAACAAAAGATGAATATGAAGATCCCTAAATGTAAAGGTGTTAAATATATGACGGAATAATATATTTATTTTTATAATTTTATAAAATATTTATTCGGTTCTTTGTCTCTTAATGATATTAACGACCACATCCAAGCACCCTCTAAGAGGTTGATGGTTTCTCTAGAGCTCTGTTCAAAACTCTTGAAGATCGCGCCTAATAAAATTTCTTTTATTACATATTTGTTGTCAATATATAAAAAAATATGACAAATTAAAGTAATTTTTTTTAGTAATGTTTACAGAAAAAGGTGTTTTCAAGCCACATTATGACTTCATATAAACTATTATTATAACAAAACAGAAAAAAGTGAACATTTTGAAAATATAATTGATTTAAATTTTTGATTAAAAAGTTAAAATCACAATAAAAAAAGAAACAATTAAAAATATGTTCTTATCTTTTCATTCACAAAGTGTGTTTCCTTGAAGACCTTTAATTCACGCTTAATTATTAATTATTTTTTTACAAAGACTCATTGTATGTTTTAGGAATGATCATAGACTAGACGAGTCTAAATTTAATTTAATATGATGCTAATACCATTTTAATCGTTAAAATAAAACAAAATTTGTGTGACATAATATTGAATGTTTTAATGCAGAAAGTAAATTAGATTGGATCGGAAACAACTAAGAAGATAATGGGACATTTGTGGTCAGCCGTAAAGAGTATTTTCATTATTCAAATAAATACGTCAATTCAGGCAGCCGACTCCCAAAATGATAACCATATTTTCGGGGTGACAATAGCGATCACATTTTATTTTAGTTTTTTCCAGTAACAATACAAAGAGTTCTATCATGCCAAATTAATTATTGATCAAAAATATTTTCGTATTGAATTTATCTATTGGCGAAGTAGTTTAAAAACTCTCCGATTATTAATTTGAATGTATCATTTAAAAGATAGATTGAGAATACTAATATTTCAATCCGATATACTGAGCAGATATTATACACGACTTTTGATAAATCTTTAAAAGAGAAATATCTTCTATATATTTATTTATCTCAAAAGGTCTAGATAAGGTTCTCGATGAAAGCTTCTAGACGGCTTTAACAAATAAATCTTCTCTTAAATCACTCTCCGCACCGGAAAAAATCAAAAGGATTCTTGATATATCTGCAAATATATAGACAAATACCGTTAGACAATTTTTAAATCATATTTTTTTGTTGAAACACTTATAGCCAGACGGAAATAAAAGAATAACCTTCTAACATTTTCATGACCCCAAAGAATCTACTGACCATAAAGAACGAAATAATTATAAATAATGTAAATTACATAAATATAATTATGAACCACAACTCAGCGTATTATAAGGTTCAAAAGCAGCATTTTATATACAATTTTATTTTTAAATTCGTTAATAAATAATATATTTAATTAGGTTTTTGCTAATTTAGTCTTCAATCTAAAATTATTCAAGGATAGTTAGTATATAAGGCTGAGAATAAAATTTTGCTTATTTTATTTTAAACAATAGTTATTAAGGTTACAGGTGAGTATTATTTTCTATTTTTAATATTTAAATGTTAATAATAAATATTAGAAATACATACAAGCATATTTATTCTTGAGTCTTATATAATCAGATTAATATATTTTTATTGTAAATCAATATAAATTAAAAATAATAATAAAATAACAATTGAATATTTATAAGTCCTTTTATATTACACATAGAATAACATAATTGATATAAAATAAACAATTTATTAGGAATGAGCTTAACTTATCAACAGAACGATATGATTTCTGTATTATATAATAAATAACATGAAATAATAATAATAACTATAACTGTAACTATAGGATTTATAAATAGATAGAGGTATAATTTTTTATTAAAAACTTACAAAATAAATGTATCCTGTTGATCCCTATTTAAGCTGATATAAGATTTCATATATTATCAGGGAAGCATATGTTTCAATAAGAAATATCTAGTGAACAATATATGTTTTATGACTTACAGATACAATGAAGTTCTTAATAATCCTCGCCTTGGTAGCTCTGGCTTCAGCTCGTCCTGATGAAAATTACGATCGGTACGAATACTTTGACGTGGATGAACTGGTGTCCAATGTACGTCTTCTTAAAGCTTATATAAAGTGTTTCCTTGGAGAAGGAAAATGTACTCCCGAAGGCAGTGAATTCAAAAGTAAGTTTGCATATTTTTTTCGTTTTGTATATTTCAAGAGTTTAAGTAATCTTTGCAAATAGATGTCGTGTAATATAACCTATTGTAGAGTATTAGATATATTTAAAAAAATGAGACTCGTTTAATAACTTAGTCAAAAGAACCAGTATAAGTAATTCTTATAAACTTTTAAAAGCAAAAATTGCCACAAGCGTTCTAAATTATTTATATTTTTGGTTAGAGTTCCTTTCGTTATAATGGATTAGGAATGAATAAAAATGTAAATAAAGAATAAAATTAAAAGCTTCAATATAATGAGGCGGACATTCTACGATTTCTATGATTTTTAGTGCCTTTTATTATTTAGAATAATTCATATTATAATTCAATTTAAATAAGCAATTTCTAACGTAAATTCACTAAAAAAATGTTATTATTTTTAACGAATAATTACATAAGTTGTTCTCATTCCTCTTGTTACAGTCAGAACAATATTATATGTAAATTTATTTAATCCATTATATATACATTTACTTATACATATTACATGAAATAATTGTATTTTTTAGAATGGATACCTGATGCTATACAATCAAATTGCGGCAAATGTTCCGATAAGCAAAAGCATATCGTAGGCAGGGTTATTAAAGCCATCATTGACAATCTTCCTGAAGAATGGAATAAGCTAAATGCTATGCACAACCCAGACGGAAAATACGATGAAATCATGAAAAACTTTCTGGATAAATACACATAATAACTCACATAATTCAGAAAGAAATAAAAATGAGCTCTAATAAAGTAGCATTTTATTATTACAGTTTTTTACTATAAAATTCACACTACCACACTACTTGACCAAACTATGAAAATAATAGAAGAATGTGTACAGTTTAAAAACTAAGGTAGTTTTATCACATAATACACAACTTTAAGTAAAAAACCAAAGACTCAATAGTGTCAAATGTTTCCTTTATCTAACCATCAAAACTGTAAGTAAAAAAAGTATTCTCCTTTGAACAAATAGTTTGTTGGAAGTTTTAATATTTCAACTGTAAAGTATAAAAGCTTCCTTTGAGTTATTAGAATTCTTGGCATCTGGGTACATTCAAGGAGTTCCATAAATTTTTAGTTGAATTATTTTAAAATTTGTGAATTGAAACAGGATTGCTATATGATTAAGATCATTATTCTCGATTAAAGGAATTTAAATTTATTTCAGTATAGTAAAAAAAACAATTCATTAGTAATTATGTATACATTTTTACTCGACTTGTTTACTTCAGCAGCCATTTTGCCCCCGGCTAAGCATTTGTTGAATGCTCTAGAAAACCCACACAAAGAGCCATAAAATTGTCGAAAGTGATTTAAATTATCCTTAATAATAATATCCTTTATAATATGACTGTTTCTAATATTTTAAATTAAAATTAAATATTTTGAAACAGACGATTTTTAGAAATTTATTAAAACAGGTATAAAAAATTGTTCCAGAAGACCACAAAACTATAATCCTACAATTTAGACACAAATCCATATAATGCTATATTAAACAAAGTGTAAATCAATTTTGAGACGTTGAAAAACAACATTTTAAACCCTTATTATTTTTATGTAAAGCGCTTACTATTCCCAATTCCTCAATAAAACAACGTATTTTATATAAAGATACATACAAAGCAGGTTAAAGAATACGAGAATATAATAATAAAGCTCCAACAAGTGTGGGTGGTTTTATTGGACATACTTAATGTGCTATTTTTTGACGTCACGTAAAGAAATAACAGAACCACAAATAAAACCTTCAACCTCTGTGCCACAACGCAGTCTGCAAAAACCATGGGAGGTACTTGATCTAGGATTACCCGAACTATTGGTATCAATGCAATTAATTATTCCTGCAAGCATCACCCACATTTAACAAAGAAACAAAAGATTTGAGTTTTAATACATCACAATTTAAATTAATAGCAAAAAGGGTATCTTCATTGTATGTTAATTAGTTACTTATTAAGTTGCAAAAATATCTTGAATATTTTAAGAGATTTTATCGTAACTCTAATGATAATTGCTTATGTATATACATATGTATAAGCAATTATTTTCTTTGGATTTTTGTTCAAAGCCCCACTTCAAATATAGTATAAACAAGTTTACTATTAATAGAAGTAACCACATTTAGAACTGTTTCTCTAAAATGCTATCACGCCATGGTAAAGATATTCATCACTAAAGTTAAATACAGTAATCTTTGACATTATTTGAAAGGCTATTAGTACTGTTGTAAATTACAGAGAAGTTAGGTTTGTCGGCCTTAAGCGAGGGCTCTACACTTCAGACATGGCGCTTTCGTATTTAAGTAAATAATTGATTTAGTTAATCATCATTAGCCTATCAGAGTAAACTGCTGAGCAAAAGCCTGTTCTCACATGGAGAAGATTTGAGCATTAATCACCACGCTTGATAGAGACGGGTCGGTGATTTCAAACTTTTAATTTGAAATTAAATCCAGGTTTCCTCACGATGTTTTCCTTCACCGTCTGTTAGTGGTGTCTAAATACTCTGAAAATATACCTATGACTCGAACCCGCGCCTTCAGGCATCCCTTTTAAACACTAGGCCACCACGACCTATAGAAGATATATTTTTAGTTTATAGAAGATATAAAAAAATCAGATATATTTTTTATTCTTTTAAAATTATCAACAATTTATGATAATAAAATTTAAATTGTGAACTTATTTGCTTGTTTTATTTCGTAGTTCTTGTTTACAAAATGCCTATCGATCGCTCAGTATGCCCTCAGACCTGTACCATCAAATTATGAATTTACGATCGTTATATTATGCTCTGTTTACGCATTTTGTGAATTTATTAGAGCAATAATTTGTAATTTATAACCAACAATCATCTGTTAATAATATTGTTTAAACTGTATTCGTCATAGTTGTTTGTTTATTTGTTTTTATCAAAAGCAACTCAAAAGTAAGATACAAGTTGAATCTTAAGTTCTTACGGTCTGCTCTTGACTAAATTATTTGTATAGTGCTTCACATTAATTCACTTTTAATTTAGAGTCCTTCAAAATAGACCTTTGTCTAATAAATTAAAAACAAAAACACTATTATTAGAATTCATTAAACGGATAATAAAAGCTTGTACAGAACAAAGCAGAATAAACAGAGACTAAGTACACTTTACTACTCGTATTATAAAAGTAAACACTTCACTTCTTTCATATTTTTATTTTCTTTCTTTAGACAAAAATAACGTATGGCAGATAAGTATCGCAGTGAAACATGAGCCATTTATTTGATTTGATGTTATTTAGTCGGCATAAGTTTATTTCTTCCTGAGTGGTAATACAGTAGAGATTGTCAAACAATATATGCAGAGGAAGGACTATAAGGAAGTGCTGACTTTTACTATATAAGTTCCATAAAATTGTACCAAAATAGCAGATAGCAAATTTAAATTACCTTATTCCCAGTTTTACTTCATATTATTTTTCAGTAATTTGTCACGAAAACGTTCAAAATAAATTCGTTTTCAAATATATTAGGGATATACAAATTTCAATATCACTTAGTTTGAAGAGAGGAATTAGCTCAAGGTCAGTTAAGTCGAAAAATCTCTTAGAGTTTGAATTTAATGTATACTATTAAAATTTTTAATAATCTTTCTTTATATCTAGTTAAAGTTTCACACACTGCAGCTATTCCATGATTGTATTCGTGCCTCCATCTACGTTAAACAGACTTAGCCACGTTTGTTCTCAGGCTTTACATTCACTACATGGAATTCTGCGACAACACTAGATACATATAGTGACGATTTAATAAATTAATCAACCGCTAGTCATGTTTGATATTCGCTTCGTATCATCAAAACTTTAAATCATATTATATCATTGTACAATACATTATTATCGCTATTTACTTTCATTTTATTTCTAATAAAAATTGAAAGCCATGCAAATGACATTTTATAAATTTACTTGACAAAAAAGAAAACAAAACAAATTAAATAATAAAATAATCTGCGACATTTTCATTCGTAAGATTAAAAAAATGTTAAAAGCATCTATGATAGATATCTATCATCATACAGTAATCTTTCTGTTCAATATATGTATTTCAATATATTAATTTACATTTTATATTGACATATAGCATTATTTAAGACATTGACGTATTGTTTTTATATGTAGTTTACAGGTTTATTACCGACAAAATAGCATTTATTTACACAATGATATCAAATAGAATATATCTTTAGCATTTTGCGATTATTGGTTGTATCACTCATACTGAAAATATTTTGTTTACACAGCACACGATGTCAAGTCTTAAATCAAGTTTTTTATAGTGACCCTCAATATACGAGTAAAGGATTTGATAAATCAATAATTCTCTGTTCCTAGCTGGCAGTATGAAAAATCACTCCACCTCGTCGTGTATAATGAGTTTTGGTACATTCCGTATCTGATACTGGTGTTAGATAGTTATCAATTTATTTATATGAAAACACATATATCTGGCAATACATAATTGAATACAATAGCACAAAAACCCAGTTTGGATTTTCCGAACACTATCTACTTTGGCATCAATGAATCTAAACATACATAAATTTATTATGACATATAACCATCTCGAAGTGCTTATAAGCATATTTATATTTGTAAAAGAAATATTACATTGAAATAAATATGTTTTACTTATGTAATGAAATGAAGAGTAGAGCAACAATTAGCAAAACCAATTGCTTGTAAAATTCACAGTAAATTATCAAGAAAAATATATACACGGGTGGAGATAAATATGATATGTGTTTTACTTTTTACGATTGTTTTAATTTTCATAATACATTGGCTTTTATTTTTCTTGGAAATTTACTTGAAAAAACGCTAATTAATGTAGATATCTGATATTCTACTAACTGCGTTCCTTGAATTAATATTAACACAATCCTTTTTTCAGAGTAAATATACTGTAAATCTTTTGTAATTATGAAATACCTCTTGATTTTTGTCATTAAATATTAACTTATTTTTTCAGAGGTAAACATATATCAACCGCAACGTACAAGTTCGGTCATAATTAGTGGAACGTTATTAATTAGTAGCTGAAATCTCTGATTTAACATTTTTCACAGACATTCCATGAATTAACAGAGCTTGATTTAAATTTAAAAGAGCATAAACTGTCAATATCACAAGCGAATATTAAACCATTTAAACCATTTATTTGCTACACACAAGAAGTAAGTTAAGTCAGTGGCGGCCTAGTGGTTAACAGACCCGCCTCTCATGCTCAAGGGCGCGGGTTCGATCCTGGCCCGGGCAAGTACCAATGTGATTTTTCCAAGTCATATGTACTTTCTAAGAGTATTTAGACATCACTGCTTAATGTATTGTTAGACATGCGGCCAGTCGTCAAAACAATTAGCCAAAACTATTCACAACATGTAAGGCAGACCCTAAGCAGATGGCTAAAGTTGGAAAATTGCCAGGTAGAAGAAGATGAAGAATAAGTTGGTTCAAAAAAGTTTAATACTTTTTTCCTTAGTTTTTTCAAGTTCAGCATCCTGACATTGAAAAATATCGCCAATTCTTTTATACTCGTAAAAAGATGAACTTTTTTCATTAAGTACATACGTACATTTAAAATACAAATATAAAATGTTAAACTGTATCCCAATTTTAAGTTTGTTTTTTGCTTCGGATGTATTCAGAATTTCACTAGAATTACACTA